GACCTCTAGCATCTGCTCACACGGTTGGGCTCAACAGGTTCTATTTCCGACAAGGAATGGCAACATCCTTGACTTAATTGTTACTGTGGGACTCCCAAATGGAAAAGTCACTATCTCGGATAACCTTCCGGGTAGTGCTCACAATCTTGCGGTATTCAACATCAGATTACTTACAAGTGTGAGTAAGGCTGCACTTTGAACTACGTGTTACCAGCCATATCGCATCACTGCTAGTCGAACCAGTGGAATGCATACTTCTTACCTGCGACTCTGAAACATCCTACCGGAATATGGATAAATGTCTAGACACTTTAGGCCATGTAAAGGAAAAAAGACATCACAGTAATGCAAAGAACAGGTTAGTCAGTATCTACAAGAAAATTCATGACAACCACACTGTACCAATTCCATAACATATTTAGCATATCAGAAGCACGCCGACTTGAAAAGCGCATTTCTAAAGAATGCTGAGCTCCCTCGGGTCCAAACAAACAAAAGAATCTTCTCGTGATACAAACGTAGGGAATGGTTCCGGAATATCGGCATTACATCCATTGCCCATCTACATCACTCTAAACCGACGGTCGCGCGATTATTTGTGCTATTTTTAAATGCCACTTTTATTCATCCTTTAATGACGCCCCACACGCAATATCAACCGCTCTACCCAATTTGCATTTGACCGATATTTTGAAGACAGTAGACTTTACTAATACAGAAATAAAGAAGACTAACAGCTCCTTAAAACTCCTTTTTTCTGATGGCCCACACAGCATTCCTCCGTTTCTCTTAAAATGTGGTGGTCCCGATATCCCTATACTGCTGCAGAATATGTTCACCTTATCAACCAGAGCCTGGTCTGTTGTAAATCGTTGGAAGCGTGCTGAAATAGTTCCACGTTACAAAAGGGGATGGAAGAATAAAGGTAGCGAACTATCACCCAACTAGCCATTGCCCCATTCTGCCTAAAGTTATGGAAAAGCTTTTAAAGGAAAGCGCGTACGAATTTTGACTCCCCAGCATTCTTATTAGCTCGTAGCAGATTGGATTCATAAAGTATCGTTCTTCTCAGTCATGCCATTTGGAGCGATTCAATCAAACCGCAAAATCTGTTCTTTTCTTTCTCGATATGCTGAAGGCCTTTGACCAGGTGCCGCAGGACAAACGTTTGGTGAACGGCATCATCTGGTATAACTGACCCCTTACTCTCTTTGTATTTATCCTACCTTACTGACGGAACCAAAGCAGTCGGGAATGAGAACCACATATCTTGTCGTAGTCCGGTAACAAGTGGTGTTAGCTCAGGCAGCGTTTTTATTCCTTTACCATTCCTTACGTACATCAACGATGATATTAATGTGATTACCCATGGTCGAGGTTACATGTTCTTCGATGGCATTTGCAGTGTACAAACTGATCTTGAGTCCCATGAGTTGCGGTTATCAAATTATATATTAATGGGTTGGCTGTACGGCGTTTCGCAGCCGTGCGACCACCGCCAGTCGCATGCGGTCTGAGTATACCGCGAGAATGCCCACCCCTACGCGGATCCGAACCGGTGAACTTATGGTTGTAAGCCAAACTTACAGACCACTCGGCCACCGGTCCACTTTGTGTTGTGGTGCTCCACATCAAAGAGGAAGTTCTCAGTTGAAAATTGCAATGTTCTTTCATACCACGGCGACATTCGATTTGGTCCACTGACCTACTTTGGCAAAGCGTTTACTTGTGGTATTGAAGTACGTGATTTGGGATTATGTTATTCCAATATTCTGAACTTCGTGGAACAAAACACCGTTGTAAGGACTAAGATGAACAATTGTCGATTTAACAGATTCTAAGCCCAAATTGTTCAAAACATATACACCTTCAATGCCAGAGCACTGCTCATCAGTTTACTCTTATGCAAGGCGGTGCAATGAGTTACAGTTGGAGCGCGTTCAACGTAAATATACAAGATTGATTCTTGGTTCCGCTAGCAGACTTATACCCAGAACGCTGCAGAAGGCTAAACCTTGACCCGATTTGGCCCAGAAAACTTAAGCTTAACATGCCACCATTGTACGATGTGACACATCGAAAAGTGCATGTGCCGAGTTATTCTCTTCAATAACAACACATCTCCCGTCAAGAAATAAGAAACAAAGAGTTAACCATACCGCAATAAAATATGCGCAGAATTCTTCCTTAATACATAGGAAACCACCTGGAACAAGCTGCCACTGTCTTGAAGATCTTGTGCGTTCCCCCACGTATTCCCGTGATCAATAAAAAAATTGCTCACAGTAGACAAAGCAGTTGCGCTGTTAGAATAAACTCTGAAGAAGTGGCCTATTGGAAAGAGTCAAATGGCATATAATGTGCACCACAAAATATGATGGAAACAACCAAAGCCGAGTCAGCTGAACTACTAGCGCATTTCGCAAATACCGGTCAATTAGCAGCTGTATAAGCCTCCATTCTGCAAATGGTCCGAATAGTTGAAATTATGTTATCAAACCTTAGCGTTTTTGCTGCATTCATGTTTTTTTTATCGGTACTGCCTTTACCATACCTTAGTTACAATCCAATTATATACTTCATTTTTGGCTTGTAAATCCGTCCAAACTACTGCCTGAAGAATTACGATTTTGAAAAAGTCTACGCAACCATTTATGTTTATGTTTGGCGAAACTCCCTCGGAGAAGGTTTGCGGGATGTGAAAATACTCTACGTGTGATGAATGGTGTCTTTTCTTGTCGTGAGCTAACTTGTCTGCTGATAATCATTTTATTTGCATAAATTTTTATTCTCCCTTATTCTCCCTTTATCGGCTAAGACTGGGCCGAACCCTTGAGATTATGGATTGACGCTTCCAAGCCAACAATTATACACATGCGAAGCATAGTGCCACTGGCTCACTGGGGTCAACAGATAATATGCACCAAGCTCGAATTGCGTCGAATAACAGGATGGGCTAACTGGTTTGATAGCCCATAACTTGTAAACATATGCTTTTTATCCCACCATACACCACTGAAACATTGAACATATAAAAAGCATATAAAAGCTTATAAAAACCCTTGAATATGTGAAAAAGTGGTGCTGGCATGCCCACCATTACGGTCACATCGGCACTCGACCAAATGAGGCATGAAAGTGCGGGCGAAATCTTTCGAGGAATACCTGGCCCGAAAGCAACTCCTCATGGGACGGTTTAATGGATGGCCATGTCCCCATTTGTCATTGTTTTCAATTTATCAACCCCTCTGATACGTTCAGACTCAGTTTACTCTAAATTGGTTTGTAAACCATGCCGACACACGTACATCGGTTTTATACGATCCCGCCGTACCCATATGATCAGGCCACTCGTTTGAATTGTGTTTGGCTTTGTCGAGAAATAGACCGAGAGAAGACAGGTTGCGACCTCTGTCTTCTCTCTGCCTTAACGAAATGGCTGAAGGGGACCCACTGTTTTACTTGAGAAATAGACCACCTATCATGTAAATCAGACATGGCAGAGATTGTGTGACGCACCTCAACCACAACGAGTGAGCCAAAATTACAAGCGTGTCAACGAAGTTCACAAGTTTCTCACAAGTGCTGCCGGAAACATGCCAAACACTTCGCGGACAGCCACAGGTTTATCTTCTATAGCCCTAACAACGCCATATGATCTGGGCTTGCCTACATTGGGACGAAAGCTAACGTGGGATACTGTTCGCAAAGTGATCAATGCAAATGCTGTTTCACCTTATAGGGACATAAACTTAGTAACTGACACGATGCCAAGTTACTACATTGCGAATGGCTACAAATGTAAACAAAGTGATGAAATCCAGCCTCATCTTGGGTATTCGTTCCAAGCCCAAGGAGTCAACGACGTTCATAGACCTTACGTGGTTCTTTAATTTGCAGTTCCAGTTGTCTCGCATATAGCTCCACGCAAGTTGCGATGATGTTAGTCCTAATCAAGGGAATCCAAACAGGAATGCTGTAAGTTTGAAAACACACAAAAAACTGATGGACTGATGGTGATCTCTCTTTATGAGCTAAATCATCATGGCTTACAACTTGAACTCAATACTTCCTCACGTTCCATATCAACTTAAGTTGAGGGGCCTAAAGTTGTGCACTGGCCGGCATCTGCACCAGCGGGAAGACATGATGGTGACTTACCAGAGTTTGTCTCCACCTTTTGCAGCTGAATCACAGTCGAGGGCTAAGTGATGGTCGACCTACTAGGTCACCAGCCTATGCTAGATGGATAAAATGTCATAAAAACTGTCTCTACCTTCGTATGGGTCATCTATAGGAAGTCCTCTGCATTTACATTTTTTCGCTCTCACATATTCTGCGTACATTACGTAATCTAGCCAGTATAAATTGGGAGACGATAAAACGGGACGAACGGTATTTTCATCACTAATCTTCAAACTTCGCGGTATGCTTATATAAGTATGTTGGCTTGTCCACACTGTTGCTGTCGCGTTTCCTGTTACGTTTTTATAATCCTCGTCTTAGCCAAACCATGACAAATGGCAGGCACTCGCTCTGTTATTCGTTGTTGCAGTGTTCCATCATGACTGTGACGCACCAAGGCTACCTATGCCAGTGCATGATCCGAGGGTTGACATTTGGTGGAGTGGTTCAGGCATCTTACTTGTGAGCCATATTTCGCCGGTTCGAGTTTGTTAGTTGCGAATGATCTCACTTTATTCCCGAGCCACAAGCGACTGGTGGTCGCGTGGCAGCGAAGCGTCAGTACACTGCACCGGCTTACAGAGTGAAACTTGCGTATCATCTCCTTTCCTATCCGCGACAAAGTGCCTTCGAATGAGTGCGTTTTTATTCGAAGTGGCTGATGTTGACATGGACCCAAGACGTGACGAATCCAAACTGACCTGAGCATTTGCACTAGTTGTTCCCAATGGGATGTTTTACATAGTGCTTGGCGTTAGCTGTTATGCACATGTGCCTGAACGTTAAGCACTGTGTTGTAACATCACTTACAACTTCCCGACAGCATCGCAGTTTATTAGAATAAGTAAGACTGAATCTGTCTCAGTTATCCGAACCATCTATTAACATGGTTGTATTGCCAACACAACAACAAATTGCAATACAGAGTGAAATTTTATTCAACTCAACGTCTGCACTGTATTAACGTGCCTCTTTCGCAAACGACACCAGGAAATTCATTAGTTGTCTTGGTGACTTCACTCACGTGTTTACGTGTCCCGGAAAGGGCAATTGAGCTTCCTTGCCCATGCACACGTATTAGAATTGGTCAAATTACTCTGCCGTGCTACGAGTCGGTAGTCGCTTGTGGCCTGCTGACCAGGCGGATAAAATGGGCGTCGATGCGCGATCCTCTTCTTCAGTCACTGAAACCTCGTAAACCGCATGTCTCTCCATGCTGGAGGTTGACCGGTTCCTGGCTACTACCGGTTGATCGGGTGATGTACCGGAACTGCTAGCGTGGTGGTCCCCTGACTGGCTGACGGCATACTTGTTTACAACTTCGTAGGACTCCAACCGTGCCATTTCCTCTGTCCCTTTCGGTGTGACTGTGACACGCTTGTGAGGATGAGGACGATGATGATGATGGTGTTTGTGGTGGGGATGATGGCGGTGACGATGTTCGCCGTGGCAACGATGATGGCAATATTGGTGACGTCGAGCAGCTGCGATCGAAGCTGCATCTTCTGATCCATACTGACTTGCGGAAAAGTGCGACGCAGAATTGGACCTATGATCTTGGCTCTCAACTGCAGATGAGGCAGCGGCAGACTGAACGTGACTCATGGAACCCAAGCCGCTTGTGACGCTATGAGGTTGCAGTATGCGTCGTTGTAAAGCGACCTGAGTGGTAGGGTCAAGATCATTATGCGCACTAAACGATTCGGTGTGTTCTCCTTCAACTGAGGCAGCATATGGCTCGGACTGTGTGGGACAGTTGATATTCACCGGACAAACCGCGATATTTTGCCCAGGATGACTTAAAGCGGACACACTGGAAGTAACTGATGTAATTTTTGGACCGTTTGGAACTGTGGTTTTCGAATTCATTTGCACACTGCCGTCACGTACCTTGCGACAGTGGTGCAGCGAGACACACTTGGATGTTCTTAGGTCTGGTACCTCACCACTTGAGGCTTGACTACTGAACGCAGGGCTCCATTCCACACTATCACGCGGCGTGAATTCGTGATCAGTGTGTATCTGATGATCAGGCAGAACCAGCGGTTCCGTAGGTGAAAAGCCCGTGTCTATACTGGTCCGAGAGCACCTGGCATTATTCATATTGCTTTCACGCATGGCCTTTGCTTTTTGAACTTGACTATCTCGGGAGTCAGATTCGTTTGAAATAGTCCCAGTGGACTTAGGTGCATCAAATTCTTTGTCGTCACCATAAGGTCGGAAACCACCGCGACAATTGTGGCATGACGTCATGTGAACCTCACTATTACCGCCCGAATATTGTGAACAGCAGGTTTCTGCATGGCTTGACTCCCATTGGCTTCTCGTGACTTCCTCGGAATCAGTTTGATGATTCAGCTTACTTGAATGCCGTGACTGTTGTCTAGGTGGTAAAGGAGATGCGATCTGAGGTTGTTGATATCTCGGTGGCCGACCATGAGACGACCGACTTTGGTTTTCATATCTTACCATTCGTCCGTCCACGTCTACCAACTCAAGTTCCGCGTATTTGTTCGTCCTGTTCGTCGAGCGGGAGTTTGACCAATTACGTTCGCCTATTAGATCATACGGTAATGCGAGGTTTCCGTTGTTCGAATTCATTGCCAAGCGATCAGGCGAATTTTGGCTCCCGCTAAGCTCAGAGCGTACACTGGCGTTCTCCAATGACTGTGGCATTGCTCTCTCCATCTGAACGGATGTGGGCTGTGGTGCCTCAGTTGCTGAGTGCGGTGGAAAAGGACTAGTTGGCTCCACAGTTTCCAGTGGTTGAATGGTTTCACCGAGCAGTTCGGCATAATCTTGCTCCAAAAACGCCATGTCATCTCGTGCCTCCAGGAACTCACTCTCTTCGATTCCTTCACCTATGAACCAGTGTATAAAACTTCTACGACTGAACAACACATCGAATTTCATGTTATTTCTATGCCAAGCATGTCTCATTCCCAAGTTTCCAGCCAGCATGCAAACGGACCTTGGAGAAGCCGCAAGCGGAGAGTGCTCGATTGTTACCGGTGGAAAAGTGTTCAGGCCTATCTTAAACCCAGTGGGACACCAGTCCACAAAATTGGCACCGATGCTAGGAGTACCCTTCACCATTTTGAGGGCATCGTAAATTTGTTTCGGACTGGTAACCCCACGATACAGCATCGCACAAGAGATGTAGGCGTTCCGCGTGGAAGGGAAGTCAATAGTGCGGGCGTCTTCGCTGAATACCGTTCTCGTTAACTCTGATATGCTAATGGCGTCATGATCAATTTGCCATCGGGACCATAGTGGAGCGTAGAAGAGTGACGGGAAGTGAATGCGTGGATAGGGAATCAAATTGGTCATTAGCTCAGTCGTATCGGCATGTTGGGACCCGTAATAGATGAAACGATGAGACAGAAAGACTGAACTGAGCATTTGTGCCAGTAGCCTGTTGATGTCTGTGTACGAAGGTTGATGAATTGTCAAGTTTTTAGAGCATCGATCAAACATGGTCTGATTATCAAATAGGATATCACAATCCAACGTCTCAATCGTAGAATGCGAATGCAGGATCGCATTGTATGGATCTACAGTGGATTGAGAGTACATGGATGAGGGAAAGACTGAAGTACTAAACTTAAATTTCTTCCCGTACTCATCACACAAGTTATCGATAATTAGACTGGTGAAACCTGATCCGGTCCCTCCAGAATATGAATGTATTGTTACAAAGGCAGCCAGGTTGTGGGACTCCTCCACCATTTTGCGAATAACTTCCATAGTTCTCCCCAGCTTCCGTCTTCCGATTGTGCAATTCCCTCGTCCATAGTTATTTGCAGCGTCCTCTTTGCCAGTAATCAGACAACTTGGCTTCCAGAGTCTGCGATATGGACCCACGCGGATTTCATCTGTGAACAGTAAAAAGTTGCCTTGTTTATGAAACAAGAATATAACTTCACTTTACAGATAATGATTATTTGAAGTTCAACAATGATGAAAACGATTTCTGTGTACTCACACAAACACGTAGTGGATCAGGCCGAATGTGAACTCCACCCCCGTGCTGTGGCCGTTAATAACTGAGACCCAATTAGTTTAGGCCTGATGACCTACCGTATGAAAAAATTAAAAACGGCATCAATAGTACGCTGGTACGCAGTACCGACGCTTCGCTGCCGCACAACCACCACCAGTCGCGTGTGCACTAAGGATACTGCCTGCTAATCTTTCCAAATCCTTTCACTGACTACCCGTTTTTCCCCTTATGTTGTTATGATATATATATATATATATATATATATATATATATATATATATATATATATATATATATATATATATATATATATATATACTGACTCCGCTTGGGCCTATTAGCAATAACCTATATTTATGTTGCCGGCAAGGTGTATATACTGTGTCCCATATGTGCGAAAATAATGTCCTAAACTCACATTCCTCGCTGACCGGTTGTAAACTAAGGGCGTCAACACATGCCGCTAGAAATGCCTTACAGTGAACAAGTAGACATTAAGCACTAACTTGACCGCTGCATTACTCTGCGTCCATACAACACCTCAAGCAAGCCAAAGTTACGTGACCGGTCAACAGTAAGGCACCGATAGATTGCTTCCCTAGGATTTCGCCTACTTGAAAGCTCGCTAGCAACTTAAGTGCCAACGGTATCTATACATGCGGGTTAGTTCGATGGTCCGAAAAATGTTTCTTGTACTCCATCCTGTCATTCTAGTGTGCTTCAGTCAGCCCTAGTAATTCGAGGCCATTCGAAGTTATGTTACCCGGAATATGGTATCCGGTTTCCAACGATTCGTGATATAGGTTACTCGTGCCACCTATTTGCTGGGTCTTTGATGCATTCATTTTCCTAAGCCTAGGTAACCGATGCAGTAAGGGATATTGCAAAAAATGGGCTCGTGTACTTCATGCAACTGTTAGCAGGTATCATACTCCACTGGATAGACCATAGCTTGAAGCAGACTATCGGAAACACCGGGAAGGATATCGCACCGGTCAGGGATGCGTGGAGGAAATAAACGCAATTTGACAGCTAATCGAAAATCAGTTTACGGAAGACCCACAGTCGTCGCCATTTTACACTTCCGGACTGCATGAAAGTCGGCAGACAGATTGATTATGGAATTTCAGACCAAAGAACAAAGTTGCTGGTAAGTACGTCGCTATATTTGAGCACCATGCCTCCATACTTCAGGCTGACGGAGGGCATACGCCACGCTTTCTGCAATCTTCCTTGTCATCTGTGGTGTGCGGCGAGGATGTCTTATGTCTCCGTTCCGCTTCAACTTTACGATCGAAGATGTCCTCCTGGAAACTTTCGATGGCTCACATAAATTTGATATCAATCTCCTTCCAGTCAATCAAGCCATCGATTTAGGTTATGCTGAAGACATCTCGTTGCTCGGTGAGGACTCTCTCGGTGCTTGAAGCGTAGACATATCATTTATTCCGCTCCATCTATATGTTAATTGCTGCTGCAGGATCGACAATCGCCCTTTCCTCAGCTAACGATCGAAGGCACATAGCTCACACTGGTGGACAGATGTGCCTACCTAGGGAGTTACATTTCCACCGACCCCACTGTTGGAGAAAATGTATCCTTTTGTACCACAAAAGCCCGACCGGCTTCCGTCCACTTGAGACATCTGTGGTGTTGTCGCTACATTGGACCCTCGTTAAAAGGCAGGGTCTACAAGGTCAGTGTTGGCACGATAATATTGTATGGATACGAATCCTTGCCGATCATTGTAGATGACACGCGTAGACTTTCGGCCTTTGACGGTGGTAATTTGCGGAGCACAGCCCATGTGTGGTGGTAATACCAACTTCGCAATCGTGATGTTAGACATCGCGCCTTGGGCAAGGCGGGACTTCCCCTCTGTGGGATTATTTTGTAGTACCACGTGAGATGGTTAGACCAAGTCATAAGCGTATGTCTAGAGAGCGTTTACCACTCCGCGCCGTAGTTGCACACGCAGGTCCGAATCGGGGCACACCGCATAGGGACCAGCCGACCACTTGACGACGAGGCATGATTTGTATCTTGCTTAGCAACCATACGTCATCCAGATTTGGGAGCCACAGATGAGGAGTCAGTGGCTTACAATGCTGGAAGCGATGGCGCAAGACCGGTTGCGACGGAAACAATATACGCAACTTTGCACGAATTCCCGTTATCAGTATTGAGAGGCGCAACATCAAATCATCCCCAAATCGGGTACTGTCCCTGCGATCGGAGTGGCGGGACATACTTCAATCTGAACCGACGTCTCAATAGAGATTGGGGGTCGCTACCCAATCAAAAGGTGAACACTCTAAATCCCACTTTAAAGAGCATTAACTCTTAAACGGTTTCGAAGCGGCGTGGGAAAAGGACAAAAAGGTTGATGTGCTCAGTTTTCCCAATACTGATGCTCCAACAGCTGTATATATTTTAAATTGTGCTTCCCAGTTTTGCGGCAATGAATCGCTTCACATACATACTGAACGTTATATATATATATATATATATATATATATATATATATATATATATATATATATATATATATATATATATATATATAGCAGCGATCCATTGATTCTCACATATCTTTGCTATATAGCCTCAGTATGCTACACTAGGTAACAATTTTTGAAAAGCGCAATGCATCTATGAATCCCATGTGGTGCATGCGTCTTATTGGCTACATTAAAACAGGACTACAAACTAGTTGAAATGAACTGGTGTTTTGGCCAAAAGTCACAGAACATATTGACACTATCAAACTCCTGAGTTTAACCTTTAAAATTTTGAAAATCCATTTCATTATTTCTGTTCAGTTACGTTTCTCAGCAAGGCTCCATGCATTTAGACGTGATACTTCTCCGATGCAACATGAGACCAGCATTCTTCGCGGTCTCTTTTCAGGCTAGCACGCAGTTTCGCCATGATATTTTTAAGGGCCTCATTGTATTCGCTTCTAGCCGGAATACCTCGGCGAGCATCCAGATGTTTCAAGGACTGCGTAGAGATCCAATGTCCAGGTTGGCAATTTGATTTGTCACATAAAGACAATCCTGCTGAGAGTAAGATTTGGCGCATATGCAACCAGTGATCTTCGACAGTGTAACGTGGGCGCTTGCCGTACCTGGATGCCAGCGTACTTTGATACGTGTTCAGAACACCTGGCTTCGCCAGTTGGCTGGTGTTAATGCGCTCACAGCGACGTTTCGGACGTCCGACGAAACGTATCCCAAGGTCGGCACACAAAAGAGCGTGATCGGAGTCCACGCGCGTGCTTCAAATTGAGTGACAGTTTTGGACACAGCCTCCCCAGCGGTAACTGATCGCGAGATGATCGATTTGCGTCCATGGCTGGTCCGAGGCTACTGGGGGCCAAGTCACTCCACTGCGGGTACTGGGTTGAAAGTTAGTGCTCTCGAGAAAGAGACGAGCATCTTTACACAACTGTAGCAACCGCTAAGTGTTATCATTATAGGAGCCTACACCATGTTGGCCGTCCAGAGAAAGCTTATCAGAGGACAATTTCTCAATTTGGGCGTTTAGGTCACGTGTCAGCACCACAGTATACGTGCTTCTTTCGTGCGGAAAAAGATCGTTAAGTTGGTGATAGAAATCATCTTTCACCGAATCAATGCTGCAGTATGTGGCGGCGTAGGCCGTAATGACATCCTCGCGCGACTTCGAAGCCCGGAGCTGGCCAGTTGATCTAATGGCGCACATCCGGATGTTGTAGTAGTATTAATCTAAACCATCTAATAAATAGGCAAAGAACCAACAAAAGTGTTGCTCTATGTCATGCAGTGGATTGTAACTGAGTGCGTAGGCGAGTGAAGACTGATAACTCACCTGGACAGAGGAATCAGTTAATACGTTTAAATCAATCATGGTGGGCTTCGTTTTTCGAGACCTCTCAAAACACCTGCAGGTTTTTGCGCAGGCCAGTGCATGATCTGAGCCAAGGAAGGTGGACCAAAATGACCCGCTGTTCACGCCATCTGAAGTTGATTGCAATGTGATCAATTTGAGACCAGGCTTGTGTTGGCGAAGCAGGACGCCACGTTGCGGAAGGCTTCTTCGTATGCCTGAAGTCAGTGCTCGAGTGAAAGAGATGGTTGTCTTCGCACAATGTGAGAAGCCACTCTCCGTTAACTGACCTATCCCTATCGAGCGCATAGTGCGCACCAAGCTGGCGTACGTATCATCATCATCATCATCATCATCATCATCATCATCATCATCATCATCATCATCATCATCATCATCATCATCATCATCATCATCATCATCATCATCATCATCATCATCATCATCATCATCATCATCATCATCATCATCATCATCATCATCATCATCATCATCATCATCATCATCATCATCATCATCATCATCATCATCATCATCATCATCATCATCATCATCATCATCATCATCATCATCATCATCATCATCATCATCATCATCATCATCATCATCATCATCATCATCATCATCATCATCATCATCATCATCATCATCATCATCATCATCATCATCATCATCATCATCATCATCATCATCATCATCATCATCATCATCATCATCATCATCATCATCATCATCATCATCATCATCATCATCATCATCATCATCATCATCATCATCATCATCATCATCATCATCATCATCATCATCATCATCATCATCATCATCATCATCATCATCATCATCATCATCATCATCATCATCATCATCATCATCATCATCATCATCATCATCATCATCATCATCATCATCATCATCATCATCATCATCATCATCATCATCATCATCATCATCATCATCATCATCATCATCATCATCATCATCATCATCATCATCATCATCATC